CACGTGTAATTCTCATGCCAAGGATTTGCTTTGCAGGGCCTAAATCCTTCATTGCAAAGGACTTGCTCAACTCTCTTGTCAAATGCTCAATCTCTTTCATGTCATGACCAATAATCAACATGTCATCGACATAGAGCAAAAGGATAATAAATTTCTCACTAGGGAATTTCTTCACAAACATACAATGATCAGAAGAAGTTTTTGCATACCCATGATCCACCATGAAAGAATAAAATTTCTTGTACCATTGCCTTGGAGCTTGTTTAAGACCATACAAGCTCTTCTTCAATCTGCAGACAAGCTTCTCTTTACCTTTGACTGCAAAACCATCAGGTTGGTCCATGTAAATTTCTTCCTCCAAATCACCATGGAGAAATGCGGTCTTCATATCAAGTTGCTCAACCTCTAAATTCAAACTAGCTGCCAAACCAAGTACAACTCGGATTGAAGACATCTTGACCACAGGTGAAAAAATTTCTTCAAAATCTATACCTTTCTTCTGACTGAATCCTTTCACAACCAACCTTGCCTTGTACCTTGGCTGTGAGCTATTTTCTTCTGACTTCAATTTAAACACCCATTTATTCTTGAGTGATCTCTTACCATTAGGCAGCTTCACTAGCTCAAATGTGTGGTTCTCATGTAAGGATTTCATCTCTTCTTGCATGGCTTTGTACCACTTGTCTTTCTCTTCATGTGACATAGCTTCTTCAAAGCTTTGTGGCTCTCCCCCATCAGTAAGCATCACATATTCATGAGGAGGATATCTCTGTGAAGGATGGTGCTCTCTGATGGATCTTCTCACTGGCTCAGGAGGTTGCTCTGGTGGAATTTGTTCAATTTCTTCATCAACTTGGGGCTCAGGAACATCACCTGCGTTGTCCACATCTGCATTCACATCTCCCCCATTATTATTGACTATGGTAGGAGGCTCTGGATCAACATCAATGTACCTGTGGATAACCTGTTTCTGCTTTTCATTCTTGTCAATATCTTCGATGGTTTGGTCTTCAACAAAAATAGCATCTCGACTTCTAAGGACTTTCCTGTTAACCGGATCCCAAAACCTGTAACCAAAGTCTTTACGGCCATAACCCAAAAAGATACACTGTTTTGATTTACCATCAAGCTTGGACCTCTCATCTCTGGGAATATGAACAAATGCCTTGCGGCCAAACACTCTCAAGTGATTATATGAGACATCTTTCCCTCGCCACACCCTCTCTGGAACATCACCATCAAGAGGAATTGAAGGAGAAAGGTTGATTAAATCTACTGCAGTTCTCAATGTTTCACCCCAGAATGATTTAGACAATTGTGCATGGGAGAGCATGCATCTGATTCTGTCATTAATTGTGCGGTTCATTCTCTCTGCAACTCCGTTATGCTGTGGAGTCTTTGGAACTGTCTTCTTAAGCCTGATTCCATGTTCCCTGCAATAATGCTCAAATGGCCCCCTGTATTCACCACCATTATCTGCTCTGACACTCTTCAACATTTTACATGTTTCTCTTTCCACACTTGCATGGAAGTGTTTGAACATATCAAGTACCTGATCTTTGGATTTCAAAACAAAAGCCCACACTTTTCTCGAGTGATCGTCAATAAATGTCACAAAATAAAAATAGCCACTAAGGGATTTAACATCCATAGAGCAAACATCAGTGTGAACTAAATCCAAGATATGTGACCTCCTGTGAGGAGGGTGAGTGCGGAAAGAAACTCTATGTTGTTTACCAACAATACAATCAGAGCAAGTTTTGAGAGGTGTACCTTTTACCGGAAGCATATTTTTCCTTGCAAGAGTGTCAAGTCCCTTCTCACTCAAGTGACCGAGCCGCTTATGCCATAGCTCTGTAGAACAATCCTCAATTGCATTCACTTGAGGGGCACACAATTTTGTAGAAGTCCAGTAAAGGGTGTTTTTCTTCACTCCCTTTGCTACCACCAAAGTGCCCTTGGTGCACTTCCATTTACCATCACCAAAGGAATTATGGTAACCATCATCATCAAGTACCTGTACTGAAATTAAGCTGAGGCGCATATCAGGAATATGCTTAACGTTCTTCAAGTGCAGCTTGCATCCAACATTAGTTTCTACCCAGATATCTCCAATGCCAGCAACCTTGCTTACCCCTTGATTACCCATCTTTACCTGCCCAAAATCTCCAGCAGTATAGGATAAAAAATACTCACGATGAGGAGTAACATGATATGAGGCAGCAGAATCAACAACCCATTCATAATCTTGGCATGCGAGATTAACTGAATCATCTTCGTAAACAACAACAACTTCACCATCAGATACAACTGCAGTTGTGTCTTTATCTTCTTTATTATCATTGCCTCTTTCCCTTGATTTCTCCCTCTTAAGCAACCTGCATTCTCTTATCATATGACCTGCTTTGTTGCAATGATAGCACCTGATGTCTTTCCTGGGCCTTGACTGTCCTCTTGACTTGCTTCTGTCATTAGATTTATGAGAGGTTCTATGTTGGCTTCTCCCCCGTGACTCAATAACCAAGGCTTCTGTGTGAGTCGATGAACTAGCCGTATTGTTTCCCTTCCTCCTGATTTCTTCATTCAATAGGGCTTCTTTCACAGTATCAAAAGTCATATTGCCATTAGTGGAATTGCTCAGAGATACCACCAATGTTTCCCAACTGTCTGGCAATGAGCTAAGCAACAACAAAGCAAGTAGCTCATCAGGAAGTTTAATCTCAATAGTAGTCAGCTGATTCACAAGATTCTGAAAACTGCTCATATGCTTTGCCACTGAAGAACCATCCCTGTACTTCAGATTAACCAGTCTCCGAAACAAAAATACCTTGTTCTGTGCATTCTTGGACTCAAACATGTCCTTCAATTTCTTCCACAGACTGTGGGCACTAGTCTCACTAGACACATGATGATAAATGCTCTGATCTATCCATTGCCTGATCATGCCAATTGTTTTTCTGTTTGCCTTTGTCCATTCTGCAACAGATTTATCATCTGGCTTAGTACCGCGTCCGTCAATGGGATCATACAAGTCCTTACAGAACAACAAGTCTTCCATACGGGATTTCCAAATATAATAATTGGAAGAATCCAATTTCAGCATAGTACCAGCCATATCACCTTCACCCATTTTAATAGCACCGAACAGAACTCCAACCAAGGAGCTCTGATACCACTGTTGGGAAAAGAAAACAAATATAGAAGATAGTAATAAAATGCGGAAGCTACTGGATCAACTTTTTCCCTGCGTGCAGTTAAAAATAAGCCCCAAACAAAATTGCTCAGACAACAATAATAAGCATAAAATAGAGCAAATAAGATAAGGAGACACCAGAATTATTAACGTGGGAAAAAACCCTTAAAGGGAAAACAACCCACGGGACCAAGCCAGTAAATCTTCCACTAATAAAATAATGGGTACACCACAAGTCCTCCTGGAACCACCAGGGATCAACAGAGCAAATATAATCTTCACCGTATAAGGTGGATATCAAATCAACTAACCCCTCAACGGGTTCTACGACACAACAATAAAGAGGCACTCTTTGATATTCTTCTCTCTGTCTGTAGAGTCGCCGCTCACGTTGCAGCTCTCTTCCCTCTTGCTCTTGTTATATCTAACACATAAGGGTTAAAACCCTTTTAACCATTTCATGGGCTTTGGCCCACAAAGCTAATTCCCTTTTTTTTTTTTTTCTTTTCTTTTAATAATAATAATAATAAGATTAAGTGGGCTCACTTATTTTGGTGACCCACACAACACAAAACTACATGTTGGATTGAAACATTATAAGACATAGATCATTTATATAGACACTCCGTAAATTTAAAATTATTTGATATATTATTGAGGGCTCGTGAAATTTAAATCTAAGTAATGTTATTTTTATTCTAATATACTAACATAGCTTTTAGGCTATCACTAACAATAGACGATACTAAATCAAATGATAAATTAAACAATGTTCCATTCAAACAATAAAATTAAAATTAAAATACCACTCAATATAAAGGGGGTGATTACTCAAAAAAAAAAAATTCCAAAACCACCCATTTCCAGAAGAGGAAGAAGAACAGAGAACTTATAGTGATTTAAGAATTCTAATAGATAATACTTAATACTTTAAAATTAAATTAAATTTTTCATTCGAAATTATTTTAACCAAGTTATACCTTTTTCAACAGAGGTGCAAAATGTCCACCAATTTCCATTGATATTAATCTTCTAACATTAATAATATCTTCCCACCTAACTATATTTTTTACCACTCACAAAAATTTAATTTCTGCACAATTTGTCGTTGAAAAAACTTCATGTCCCATCACTCAATATATCCTCCATATTTTAAATTCTGATTTGTGTTAAACTATTTTTCAATTTACAATATAAAAATTAAGGCAATTTTTTTGTATCCGTATCAGTATTTTTAGTATAAGTTATTTTAAAATTTTAATTTATTTTAAATAAAAAAAGTGACAATATACAGTATGTATCTAATTAAATTTAAAAAAATCTAAATGTTGATTGTATATCACACTATTTTTTTGGCATTGGCATCTATGTTTACTTACTATACATTAATCAGACATTTCACCTAACAACTAATAAACACAAGTATTTTAGTAAAATTTATTATCTTTTATTGACAAATGTTTGCATTATCTTGAATAACAAACAATGAAATAAGTATTTCTAGTGCCACAAATACTTGGAAAAGAAAAAACAAAGACTTGCTCATTAAGACATAGTGAACCTTCCTAACTAGATAGGTACATAACTGAAATGTGAAATAAATAAAACTCTTCAATTTAAGAAAATGAAGAAAAAAAATACACTCATTACTCAACAACCTCTTCATCTTGCATTTAATTCACTCAACAACTTCTTCATACTCACCTCTCCTTTCCAACCCATCAAACTTAAGAGAGACAAGTTAGTTTTCTTGATTCATTTCAATTCAGTAAAGTTTATACAAAAATAAAAGGAAAGGAGCAAAAGCATGTCTTCCATTCAAATGATGTCTGTTAACAAACTTGGATACCAAAAGCTGAGACATGAAGTTGAGTCTGATGATGAAAGGGAGAGAACAACCATTCAGAGACCAAGGAATTTTATAAGGTTTAGAAAAGTTCCTATGAGGAGAAGGTTTAAGCTGAAAATACCAAGCTTGAGAAGACTTTGGAGGAAAAAGGTAAAAGTGGTTTCTTCCATGAGAATTTCATGTGCTAAAGTTATGAAAAGATTTAAAGATGGACATGTTCATTTTGGTGATCTTTTTGCTGGAAACTACTTGTTCATGCAAGTTAATCCTTCTTCACTCAACTACCTTGGAAAAGAGGTGTCTCTTTCAAAAATTGCTTAGTCTCTTTTTTTTTTGGTATGTTTTTTTTCTCTCTTTAACAACACTTTGGTGTTATTGAATGTCTCCTGTCTCCTTATGTTATCATAAAGCAAAAATAGGTTCTCAATTGTGCAAAATGTTCTATTTGGTGTAGCAAAATTACTTGCAGATCTAATTGCATAAGGAAAGGAAGTTCATAATAAATAGAAAGATTTCTTATTTTTCTTGAAAATACTAATGGGTCAATTTTGTTCTATTCTTTATTTGCACAAGTTTGGTAAACAGAGAAGATGATTTTAAGAGAAATTTTGAAATAATTAGGGATTGTATACTGGATGAAACCTTTGGTAGATTGAGTTTCTCAAGAATTATGTAGTGGTACCAAATAATCAGAAATTAAATGATTGACAAATTAACCAATCCATATGGGTTTCATGTAGAGCTATATCAATTCCATAGCTAGAGTGTCAAAAAGCTAAAAGGTGAAACTAATCAATTTGGGCCGCACTTACAACAATATAGCCCAACACGTAATACTTCATAAGTTGGGGAGAAATTTTTCTACCACTCCCACTTACTGGCACCCCTACATATTTTTATAATATCTATGTTATTTTTTCAAAATTTATATAAAAAGTTCGGTACAAATCAAAATTCTGGCAGTATACTTGAAAAATCCGGTATACTGGATAATTTAAAAAATCGGTATATTATGTCACAAATCGATTATTTAAAAAAAAACTATTTTTTATTGGATTTTTTTATTAAAGGTGAAAATTCCGATAGTGGAACAAGTACCATTTTTTTTTTCAAATTAACTTTCAACTATCGTATTTTTAGTCAGTCATGTAAAATTCTGGTAGTGTTAATTGAACAGCTGAGATTTTGCCAACAATTTTGTGTAGATGTGATTGCACCGACTATTTTTTGTGGTCCTGAATGAACCTAAAGTCGTCTAAATAGAGGTCATGTGTTGTTAAGAAAAATATCTTATAATGCTCCAATTTTTGTTTAAGGCAGAAGTGTATTTCAATGGGGTCAAACCTCTTGTAGAGTTTTGGTTCCCCGAGGGCACCGCATGTCTCGCCCTTATGAGATCCAAGTTGAATGATATGTTGCCAGACACCGAGAAGAGAAAGGTTAGTAACATCGAGTTTCATGAAGAATGGATTGATACTTATGGAAAGGTTAAATACAACCTTGTTGAGTTGAAGACCCATGAAGATTTGAAAGTTATGTGAAGAACATACCACCATAGGCTAACTAAGGGATCGATTGGGATTGATTCAACAATTTCTAGATTTGTCGACGACATAATTAAGATGTTAAAACACCCATAATCATCTAGTAGTGTTTAGGTTTTCTAATTTATTATTGTTTTTTTAAGACAAGTAATCGCCTATCTAAGTTATGTAGTCGTTTTTCAAGTGTTAAGTTATGTTCATCATGCATCAATGGAAGTTCCAAAATTTTATCGAATAAACAATGTTGTACAAATGTATGAGTATTACTACACAATATACAAATAATACAAAAAGTGATAATAAGTTCTAAATATCCCCCTATGAGCTATGTGTGCTGCCTACGATGGCAAAGTATAACAGTCAACATCTGGGTTCACCAAACCCATGAGGTTATCCCTAATGACTGCTATCATTTGCAAGCGCTGAGTGTCATCCGCACCATGTGGAGGCTACAACATGTCATCATAAGGTACCCTAGCATTAGAAGGTACTCTATCATGAGAAGGTCCATCATGAGAAGATCTGACATCATCTCCACACTGCCTAGGTGGGTTGATGCAAGGGTGTGATACAGCTAGGTACCACTCCAAGTACCCATCCACACACTCCGTTGAGAACCAATTGCACGATCTCTAATGGCACGGGTAGACCCCAAAACGTGACTAGCAAATCATCTATTAACGCTCTTAAATGGAATAATTAAAACCACATAATATCATTTGGTATCATTTACGTGCTTTAAGTATCTATTGTGTTTTGATGTTTTACAATTTGATTATTGTTTCAATGCGTATTTGTAATTTGTATGTTATTTCAATTCATTTACATGATTGTAAACTTTCTTTCCATTTGATTGTAATCAATTTGGTTATGTAATTGTACCACTAAGAAACTTTTGCATTTCATATTGTATTCAATTGATCCTTGTTAGCTATTTCCTTTTTGAGCCTATTAAAGTTATTACTTTGTCATTTCCACACGAGTAACATGAATCACAAGTTAGAACTTTTGAATTTTAATGTTTTTGGTATTTGATTCTAATCATGTGTAATATATGATTCAAATCACTCACATGTTAGAAATTGGAATTACTTTCTATATCATTTGATTAAGATAAAAAATTGAACATGATTCAAATCACAATCCCATTTGATTCAAATCAAGTACAAATAATGACTCTAATAATTTACTTTGAAAAATATCTCTTTTTAATTTTATCCAGATTAACTCGAATCAATTTTCCTTCTTAATTCGAATCAAACCATAAAAAACCCAATTTTCCATCATTCATTTAAATGCTTGTTTCTTTTGATTACAATTACAAGTGTGGGAAATTTATGATGATTCATAGAGAAAAAATAGTGATTTTTGTCCTCTCTTCTTAGTGTGTTCATCTTTAAACCATTTGTAACGCCTTGTATAATATACGTCAAGAATATACATTATACACAACATTAATTGGTACCGACACAATCATAAGGGCCTATTGGCATCATTTACACACTTGACCAATTATACAAAAATACAACTCTTGGTAGTAGATATGGGAAGTACCAAAAGTAAAAATCTAAGATCTAAGTACAATATTCGTCATTGTACAAGATACACAACAGAAGATCACAAATGCTCAAAATCATTGAAACATCATCAAGCAACTCCTTTTGGTCAAACTTGCAAAAACACTCAAACAACAACAACAATCATGGGGTGAGATGATAGTCTCATTGAGTCCCCCTATCCTATGGGTCCACTTGGATTTATAGGGTTTCTATTTGATTTCTAACTTAGGTATTCACCTTCTGTTACTTGTGCATCACTCGCACCTTGTAACGAGGACTTGAGCAACTAAGGGATAATCGTAATGTATGGAAACATGTCTCTTTGTTAATCAACTCAAATAATCACTAATCAGAAACCATACTAGGTATCTTTCCTCGACCAACCCTACGTCTAGGATTATTGACACAGATCACAAATTCTTGCATTATACTTAGACATACGCATGGACTTCGGATTCCAAGTGATAACATACACTTCAAGAATAGTCGCTTCCTATGGGACTCTTAACCCATTTAGAGCCTTTTACTTGCATGGGACTCTAACCCACTCAGGGATCCACCGCCTTTGGGATCCAAACCCAGGTCATTCAAGTATCAGTGCACACATCCCAATTCTTACTCTATATAAGCATCACAACTTGGGACAACACAATCAATGGGCTATTTCTGACTATGTGACTAGATAAAGTACAACGTGATTAACCTCTAATCACTAGGTGATTACTTTCACCCTCATACAAACATCATATTCCATACAAAGCACATTATTTCATGATTTAATTTATTGGTAGCAACTATCCATCCACGATACACGCTGAGGCATCCTTATGTCCGGATATCACCAACTAAGTCCCTTATCCTAGTCTAAGTTATGTTACTAATTCATTCACCTAGATGTCATCCAAATTATCCTCACTTATCAACATTTCAGATTATTAAGCACAAACAAACAATCATCAAACATACACAATAACACATATAAAACCAATAAAAATATCATTATTCACCAAGAATCCTTAGTTTAAGAATCATAGTTTCTCATTACCATGCAATACTCTATTGGATTAGCCTTCTAATGGCTCTAGTCTCGTATCTATCGAATTCTTGGTCCTTGAATTAGGGTGGAAACAAGAACCATGATATTCAATCAATAATCCCTAATAAATTATAGCATACATAATATTTTATCATCACTTTAATATCAATAATTTACATAAAATCATGATTTTACTTAACCATCTAATAGATCACTAGAGCAGCTTTCTAACGCATCCGACCGTGTGTCAAACGGAGTTACGAAACTCAAGTTACGACGATTTCAATTAAGCATTTTCTCACTCAATCAGTAGTAACCAGTTACACTCAGTGAGGAACCGGTTCCGGGCACGGAAAATGGCCCAGAAACGTATTTTTTTCACAGGTAACTAGTTACCAAATGCTAGTAACTGATTACCACTCAGTCTAGAGCCCAATTTAACACTTTTTTCCACTCACGACCATTCTAAATTATACCTAATCATAGTATAACATATTCAAACATTTTATACCATGAATTCAACATATTACAACACCAAGAACAACATAACCACATAGAAACAACTTCATAAAGCCATGATCATGACACCACAACACCAACCTAGCACCATAAATCATTTTGCAACTATAATTTAACACAATATGGTATCAACATATCAAAGCTTGCAAACATGAGAATAATCATGTATTGGTGTTAGCTCACAAATTCGACGCCTCAGGTATAGATTAAAATATTTAAATAAAATATTAAAGTCTTTTTAGAATGAATAAGGTTTTGAGCAAGGAGACCTTCGAATGAGAATTCAAGTATTTTAGGACTTAGAGAAATTTCCAAACATTAAGGAAAATGGCCTTCGACCGAGACATTGGTTGAAGATTAGTGAAGGTTTTGAAATTCAAATAATGGAGGGAGTGGTTATGCATTCCCATGACTAAGCAGGACAAGTGGCGTTCGATTAGCAAGTGACTGCATGCACTATGACTTGTCAGAAGCTGGTGGTTTTTGGAGGTTATTGGTAGTTATTTTTACTATTATAAATAAGATTTTTAGACATAGAATTCAGTGTGTTGTAATTTACTATTTGTACAAGTTACTCCGAAAATTACGCAAAGTACCCGAGTGTAGAGAAACAAGTTCAAGGAGAATGTACGTTATGTAAACACACCATCTTTACTTTCAATG